GGACTGTGGGTTTGGGGGAGGCATTGTGGCTAGGAGGGGAAGATAGGGAAGAAAAGAGGTGTTTCCCTCTGAGGCAACAGAAGTGACAGTCTCATCAGTGCCTTCTCCAGGTTTAATTACCAGAGGCCAGCTCTGCCCCGGAAGAGGGGCACCGTGGCATCCTCTGCCGTGTTCCCAGATCTCCCAGGTGCCCCCCAACTCATGATTCACAAATATGTAGCTTCCAGAGAGGATGTCTCCCCTCAGGCTGACATGTGGCCAGCTCGGGGGTGGAGGAGCTGGGCAGCTGCGGACCCAGACAGGATGCTGACTGAGAGCTTTGTGGCCATTGCAGACGGGAGGGGTGAGCTTCACCCACTCAAAGCACCCGCACCCCACTGACTAGTGTGGAATTGTGCCTCTCCCACCTTCTCCGCGAGACTGGCGAGAATGCCGGCTGACGGAACCGGTGTTCTCTGGCTTACAGCGCCCCCTAGCACTGGTCAGAGGGATAGGGCTCCACGCAGTTTCCCAAGGACTGCCACCTGCCTGTCTGAAGACCCACTGGGAAGGGGTGGCTGGTGCCAATCACTTCGACTCATTTAACCAATACTCACTGACTTCTTTGTCACCAACATTCAATCTCTGTGTTCAAGGGGCTTACAGTCCAGAAAGGGAAACAGATGGGCCAACAATCACATTACAGTAAGGTAAATCGTGTGAAGGAAGAAAGCACAGGATGCTGTAGGGATACATGCGAGGGGGTTGACAAAGACTGGGCAGGGGAATCAGATAAGGCTTCCTGGAGGAGGTGACATTTAAGCTGTGACTTAAAGGCAGTATAGGAGTTCAATGAATTTTGGAAATAAGTTATGGGGACAATAAAAGACATATTTCCTGTCTTTTTAGCGCTTATGATCAGAGGCAAATGGACAGATAAACAAGTAATTACAACAGGGCTCTATCAGATGCCTTTGCTGTCACAATCTTTGTTTTCAGCTTGAGTCTTCGAGGAGAGAGCAGAATAGGAACTCAATAAGTGTTGATCAAGAGATTGATGGACGGGCTTCACTTTCAGGCACATTCGATTTGTCTCAAACCTTTTAAATGGCAAGATCTATCTTCCCTTCAGAAACACCTTGTCCTTGAGAATTTTCCATGGAATCTTAGACTTTTTGAACCAAAGGGGATCTTGGGGACCATTGAATTGTATCTTTCATCCAATAAACACGGAAATTGAGGCCTGGACAGGTAAGCAGATTTTTCCATACAGGCAACTCTTCTGCAGCAACCTTTAAAGCAAATCTCAGGTCTTTTGCTTTTTTTTTTAACCCCAGCGTCTCTGGTTCCCCGGGAACAAAGTTTTCATGCGTCTCTTTGCAGCGATATGTTCGGAATGTTTTCAAAAGGTATTAGATAATTTAGAAAGGGAAAAAATAAACACATAAGAGATACACTTCTGAGGAGTACAGAGCTGTATTCATTCTGATCGGCTCCAAGAGAACTATTCAGTCAGTGCAGGTGGAATTCCCGATGTGCTGGGCACTGTACAAAGAGACTCTGAGACAAACTGGTCTACTGATCTGAACTGCAGATCCAGGACTGTGAGTGGCTGGGGTTTCCATGGCCAGAATGCAAGCATTAGGTCACAGGCTATTGTCTTAGGGAGACTGCAACACAAGCTCGGCTCTGCCGATAGCTGACTGTGAGACTTAGGGCAAATTCCTTCACCTGTCTGAATGTCGCTTTCCCCACCTATAAAATGAGGATGGGACGTCTCTGAGCTCCTTTTTCAGGACTTCTAAATGTCCATGAGGGACTTCTCATAGATTCCAACGTCCTATAACTTGACATGAAGGGGGCGCGCACGGCCTCTCCTTTCCTAGAGAAGTTTCACAAAAGGGAATATCGGGTCAGCCTGGTAGGTCTGAGGACAGGCCAGGCAGATTTGGCAATTTCTTCAGTTCTTCTGAGGTTTATAAATCTATCATTGTTCTTAGCTGTCAAGAGAAAGTGGGAGAGCCAGTCTCTTCCGTCTTACTATTAGCCCCAGGTCCATTCCATCCAGCTTATAAAGTGGCCTTGAAAAAGCAATTCTTACATATTATTAGATCCATGGACACTGTGACATCCTGATTGATGGCTGTGAGGTCTGCCTGCTGGAGGGGCTGACCCTGGCAGTAGGGCCCTCCTCCACCGGGATTCACCGGGCTCACTCTTTCTCTTCCTCAAGATGGGGACTGAGCTGACCTCACACGGGTGGGCAGATGCGAGTTCCCTCAGGTTAGACATTAGGGAAAACTTCCCACCTGAAAGGGAAGCTGAATACAAAGATGCTGCATGGACCAGCTTAGGATAGGGAGCAAGAGGAAATAAACCAAAAGGCAATTTTATTATCTTTCAGCTGGAAAAACAATCAGATGACTCTTGCGCTTACGTAATTAAGTACGAGCCGTCATCAAATGCCTCAGATGCTTCTATACAGAACCTGCTGCTCAAAGTTCAGCAACAGTTATACGTCTGATACTCATATTCTGGGTAAGCCTTCCCTTGGAGAAAATATTGGCATTTTGGACAAAATCATAAAGTGAAAGGAAAATAGAGAAGAGAGGACCTCTCTCACTTAAGATGCTTATCCAAAGTGGATTTGGTCTGGAAAGGCTTATAAAACCTTCCACATGACTGGCACGGTGCAGGCATAAGCGAAACTCTCAAATCCCACCAAGCATGCCCTCATTCAACCTGTAGCCTTGGAATGGCCTCTGGAGGGTCCATTGCTCAAGACTCACCCGGCTGGGCACGCCCACACCCAAGTCCTCTGGGACCCTACTTTGTGCAATGAGGGCTGTAAAGCTGTGTGGGCACGTACCTCAGACCTCAAAGCGCTTCTCGTGTGGTTGGGGAAGTAACACAATCATCCCCCAGAAAACAATGAGCAACGTGCTGGAGTAAACGTCCACGGAGGGAGAAATGTCTACGGGTCAGACTATAGTCAGAGTCGAGGCCGGAAGGGTCCTAAAAGTTGCAAAGGGGACAAGATAGGAAAATGTGGAAACTAGATTCCCTTCCTTACAGCTAAAATTTCTAAGTGGGGGCAAGGAGTTTAAAAAATCTTGGAAATACCATTTCCAATGAAATGTTCTGCTTCTGCCCTCCCGATGTCACTTCTCCGAGGTGGAAGCAGAGAAGTTTCTGAGAAAGAAGTTGAACTTGCATTTCTGAGCAGTATTCCCAGTGCTTATTTTATTCCAAACGTTTAGCATTTCTGCAGCCAAAACATTCAAGTCTCTTTCTAGATGAGATGAATTGGGAGAGATAGGGGAAGAGGCTCAGGAGTAGAAAGATAGACACTCCAGCTGCAAAAGGATGTTTGCACAGCAAGAGCGAACGGCGGCGGCTAAAGTCCAGGGAAATAAATGTTGCTCTTAAGGTGGAAACAAGTGAATTGAGTTCCTGGCTGGTTGCCAAGTCATGTCACCTTTCTGCGCCAGTTTCCTAATCTGGAAAGTGTGAATGATATTTTGTGTTTTTCCTATCTAAGAGGATTCTTGTGAGATATAGCGAGGTGAGGTATGGAAAATATAAGGCAGGATCAAGATGTTACTTCATAATGACAGTCCTAGTATTAGTTAATAGCAATCATCTATTAGAGCTAGTCATCTAGGATCCTGGATAGTTCTCTAGAATCTGGTTTTACCCCAGGTTTAGATCGGTTCACTCCCAAATTCCTTGCTGGACAGTGGAGACCCGTCCGCCCTAGGTGGGGTTACCATTTTCTCTGGCCCTGTCTACTTGTTTTTCAAATAACCTCAGGGTCTTTGCACTTGCTGTTCTCTCTGGTGGTCTCTCCTCCCAGATCACCACCTGACTGAGCCTTCTTGTTCACATCTCAGCTAGGAAGCCTCCTCTTCAGAGACTTTCTCTTATTATCCTATAGAAAGCAGTGCACCCCTCAGTCATTTCTAACCCATTACTCTGTCTTGTTTTCTTCATAGCACTGCCACCATCTAAAATTACCCTATGTATTCATGGATTTACTGATGGATTGCCTGCAAGTTCCATGGGCGCAAGGACTCTGTTCTGCTCATCCCAGCATCCAGAACAGTGTTTGTTGAATGACTTCACAATTTACTCCCGGTGAGCCCAGGGAAACGATCGTCTATTACAGCCAGCTCCCGAAGGCAGATGGCTTTCTCATATCCAGGAGAGTCCGGGGCAGGGGTGGGGCAGTTGGGGAGGTAGGTCATCTACCTAGTTCCTTCCCTTCTGGCCCTGCTCCTTCCAGAGAAGGCGGACAGTTAGCCGCTTCCCTAGCCTTTCTACCAGGCGCAGTTAACGTCTCCAGGACCAGGGCCCCTCTGACCTGCCAAAGGGTTGGTGCTGGGGTAGGTGGTCGTTGATTCTGCTTTGGGTCAGAGGCTCCCAATGGGCAGGGTGGGCGTGTGGCGAGGGTGCAGGCGAGAGGGGCGCCGCTCGGGGGACACTCGGTCGGAGGCGCGCCCCAGCCCACCTACTCGCGCGCGCACAGCCGCATTATTCCCTATAAGGATCTGAACGGTCCGGGGCCGCCCCGCCCGGTCGCCCCGCGCCCCCGGCCCCGCCCCCTTTTCGGAGGGCCGATGAGGTAATGCGGCCCTGCCATTGGTCGGAGGGGGCGGGCCCCGAGGGCCCCGCGGGGGTGCCGGGGGGACCCGCGCTATATCACTCGGCCGCCGGGCAGCGGCGCAGAGCGGGCAGCGGGCGGGCGCTCGGACGGCTTCTCCTGCTCCTGCTCCTCCGGCTCCGGCTCCGGCTCCCGCTCCTTCGCCCGGAGACACCTCCTGCCCGCAGAGTCGTGCGCCAGCGCCCGGGCAGCCTCGCCGCGCCCCATCCCGTCCCGCTGGGCACTCGGGGGACAGCGCGCCCGAAGCCAAAGTTGCCCCGCACGGCCGGGCGGGTGAACTCGGGCTGCAGCGGCCCCGCGGGCGGCGCGCACCGCAACTTTGGAGAGGCGAGCAGCAGCCCCAGCAGCGGCCGCGGCGATGACTCCCTGGCTTGGGCTCGTCGTGCTCCTGGGCAGCTGGAGCCTGGGGGACTGGGGCGCCGAGGCGTGCACATGCTCGCCCAGCCACCCCCAGGACGCCTTCTGCAACTCTGACATCGGTAAGCGCTCCTGGTGTCCCCGCCAGAGCCCCCGCGGTGCCCGCTCGCGCGCTGCAGCCCGGACTGGGTCGCTGCGCCGGGTGGCGTGGCGAACCCCGCTCCTTTTCTCTGCCTGGGCTTAGGGTGGGGTGGTGAGCCTCAGTTTCCTCGGGCTGGGGCTCTGGCATAACCGAGAGGGGAGCTGCCCTGCAGAGAAACCCCACACTGGCCGAGTGAACTGCAGCTTTTGCTCTCCTTTTAGGGCGTGAGGTCCCTACCGCTCCTTTGACATCTGGAAAATTTCCCTTTTCACTATTGCAGGAGGAGGGGCTGGAGGAGAAGGCTGGGAGAGAGGGTTCCTAAAACTTGCAATGCCAACTAAAGTGCTGGGATGTTAAGTAGTTAAAGGAAAAACAAAAGTTGCCAGCCATGTGCACAGAAAGTTGCAGGAGAAACTTTCAGTTCTCTGAGTTTGCATCATCTCCCCCGTCCATGAAGTTCATTCTTTTCATTGAGACCCAACCCAGCCTCAGCTTCCCAGGCAAGTGCTAACCCAGCTTCTTGGACTGCCAAGTCTGGGTGGATTTAAGGAGAAAAATGGGAAGAAAGCCGTGGGGTTGACCTTCCCCCAGAGGAACTGTATTTGACAGTGTTGATAGCAAGCAGGAGGTGGCGTGTGTGAGGGATCGCTTATCACGTAGCTGCGAGAATTTGCAGGAAGGCTGTTTTTTTTTTTCCCTTGAATATGTGTGGGGAGGGGGAGAATGAGCAGGAAAAATAGATTTGTCATCAAAAGAACAAAGATGCCCAGGGTCACATCGTGGTGACAATTCCAAGCTGGACCTCGAGTCTTGATTAGAGAGACTCAGTAAGAAGCCTAACCAGTTTTTATCAAGGGCTTCCAGAGTGTCCTGGGAGAGCTTGTCTGGGAGTGTTCGGGACACTTGTGTTTGGATGGCCAGAGGTGGAGGAGCAGCTGGAAAACATCTCTCTCCTCCTTTCCAGCTCATAAAGCATGCAAGTCCAGTGGCCTCTGCTGTGTGTGTGTGTGTGTGTGTGTGTGCGTGCGTGCGTGTGTGTGTGTGTGTGTGTGTGTGCACGCACGGGCTGGGGGTGGGGTGGAACACAGTCTGGCCGCCCTCTGCCTGTGTCGATTCAGAGGTGAAGAATGGAGCGTGTGTGTTTTAAGTACAGTCATAAAGGGGAAGGAAAATTTTCCACTGGGTCCTGGGTGAGGGCCTCCACAAGTGTGCTGCAGGGGAGGGGGGAGGAGACCGGAGCCTGGCAGAGGAGGCAGCTGAGGTTGGGAGGGGCGCTGCTGGTGGGCCCAGCCAAGCCTAGGAGAAGTCAGGGAGGTGGCTGTGGTGACCAGGAGGTCAGTCCAGTTGGCAGGCGTGGGTGTTTGTGTGACCTGGGGTCACCCTTGTTAGAGGTCCCCTGGGGCTCATGTTGTACGCACTGCCCTTCCCTCTCCCGGGGGATTCTGGCTGGTCCCTGGGTTTGTGAGTTGCCTGGGAGGATCCTTTTGGGCTGCCTGAGGCCCGGAAGGGTTTTCTCCCTTCTCCTTTGACTGCCCCCACCCAAATTCCACTTGGCCTGTCCCATCTCATCCCTTGGTGACATTCCCACCTGAGTCATGTTGGGAGCTGCTGCTGCTGGCGGTGGTGGGTTCTGGTCCTGCTCAGTGAGGAGCACACACTCGGGGCCAGGGCGCTGACAGGTGGAGTCAAGGCGCCCTCTTCTGCTTGACAATGGCTTGGATGTGTTCACTGGGATTGTTTTGGGTGTGTGGGGAGAGGGAGACCTCATGCCTCCCCCCTTGCCCTTGACTTTGGGATTTCCACCCTGGAAGGTCACCAGGGAACAGTGGAAACAGGAGCAAGGAGACCCTGCTTCCAATGGGGGCGCTGCTTGACTCAGTTTCCTGTTTAGCTTTCCTGCTGTGGGTCTGGGCTGATGCAGAAAGTTTCTTGTGATTTCTCTGGATTTATTCAAGAATAAATCCCCCTGCCACCCTCTTCAAGAAAGGGGGCCCAGAGAAAAGCTGAGTTACCAGAAAGTATCCAAAGCCCAGAACATTGTGGTAGCAAGAAGAAAAAAAGAGACAAAAAATCTTCGATGCCCTGGCACCGATCCAACACTGTTCTGCCTGCGTTTGGTGCACTGCACTGGTGGCAAGGATGAGATAATGCTTTTAAAAATGGGAGGTGTGGATGTGGGCTGCTTGCTTGTTGACCTCCGCCGCCTTACAGCACCCTGCTGGTGTCCAGTAGGTGGCTCCCAGTTTTCCCAGCTCGCGGCCTTTCTGGTTTACGTCTGGGTTGAAGCTCTGCTCAGAAATGTGTAGGAGCTCCCCATTCCCCGTGACCTCCAGGAGCCACCCCCAGCCAACGCTGTAGCCCATTAAAGATGCTCAAGCCAGTCCACCAGCTTCTAGAACCTTCTTGGCTGTTTTCTCTTCGTGACCAGGTGCCGTGTTGCTGGGTGAAGGGCACAGTGTCCTGGCTTGGCCCTTGTTAAGGAACCCCCCGTGGCCTTCCCTCTCCTTCCTCCTTATCCACAGGTGTCTCTTTTTGCCTTTCTCCCCCAAAGCCCCCGGGGACTTGCATTGCCTTCTGGGTGAGGAGGAGTTAAAAGGTGTTTCTATGGCAACTCCAGGCCCTGCACCCTAGCGAAATGTTTAGGAGAAGAATAAACTACATGCTGGCTTATAAAACATACTGTGGGGAAAGAAAAGGGCTTGGCAGCCGCCACAATGTCTATGGCCCCCTCCCCACCAGCCATTGCCCCTGAAACTCTTGACAAAACCTTGCCTCGGGAGGAGGGGTGGGAGGGAGCTGGGAATGAAGGAGCCTGCCTCAGCCGGGCAAATCCTGCTCCAGCAGCTCTGTCCAGCCCAGGAAGAGGTGGGCAGTGCCAATTTTCAGAGCCTTCTGAAAATCAGGGTGTGCGTGTGTGTGCGTGTGTGTGTGTGTGTGGTTTCTGCAGGGGGGCCGGGCGGTAGAGAGAGAGAAATTTGTTTCAGAACGCCAAGCCCTCCTCTTTCCCTCCCTGGCAAAGAGGAATGAGGCTGTGGGACGGAGTGTTGGGGGCCTGCCCCCTGAGCCTGTTGGGAATTCGAGAGCGAGGCTCTGCTTGGGGGCCCGCTGCCAGCCCTGGAGGATGGTCCCTGGATATCTGCGAATTGTTTTGGCAGGGACCAGTGCCAGTGGATTCTTTCAGTATCAGATCTGAGGTTGTGGTTTTAGCCAAGAAGCCATTTGCAAAGAAGTCAGATCCATTGCCTGTCACTCACACATACACAATTGCACTCTACACCGGGCTTTGTGACTTAAGGAAAATAAAAAGGATCAGACTTCAGAGAGGAGCTGGCCCCTTGGGGAGGGGTCCCAGGCAGGCTGTTGACCTCTTGGGAACCTTGGAGAGAGGAGAGCTGCTCTTCACAGGAAGAAGGAAGGGACATCTCAGACTCCCACTGGGTGTAACCACTTCACAGACCCTGTGTCTTTCATCCACCCAGCAACCTTAAGAGTGGTATTATGCCAATTTTTCAGATGGAAAACACTGAATCTGAGAGAGGTTGTGCTTTCCCAAGGTCCCCCAGCTACTAAATGGTAAGGCTCGGTTCATCCTTAGTTAATGCCATTCTTCAAAAAGTTTTCAAGTTGCATTTATCTTGGATATTCTAAGGCAGACAACCCCTCCTAGGACGGAAATGGAATGGACAGTTAACACTTGAGAGTGCTTTATTTATTGACCTGAGAAGTTTTCATTAAAAATAGAAAGATAGCCAAAATGGCCAGCGGTTTTAATTAAACATCACTTTATGGGAGGGAGAAATTATTATTATTACTGTTATTATTATATTAGGGTATAAATAGAGAAAAATAAAGGAAAATTCCTAATGTTCTTCGGCTATTAGAACTGGAAGAGACCATCAAAACCACCAAGTCAAAGTTAAAAAATGGCTCAGTTTGTCTCACTGAGGCCCCGGGGGATAAGGACAGCTAATGGAGACGAGACATCTTGAGCTTGCATACTCCTCCTCTTCCAGGCGGGGATGCGTTGGGGCTGCCCAGGGCGAGGTGCCCAGTCTATGCAGACGGCCAGTGTGGTGGAAGAAAACCAGAGGCAGAGTCAGGAGACGGGGTCCTGGCTGGCAGGCGAAGGTGCCTCTCCCACAGCTCTGTGCCCCTGTCGCAGTCCCTGGATAGATAAGGCTGGAAGCATGGCCACAGGAGTGGCTTGGGTGGAGGGACTTTTGTTTGTTTTGCAAGAACAGCAGGAACCATTCAGCTCCACTGCTGAACGGCACATTCCAACAGGTTCATTAATTAAAAACAAAAACAACAACACAATTCTCCTTGCGTTTGACTTTTACCATTCCAGCCGGTATGGACAAGGAGGCCCCTTCTTCTAGGCTTTGTCATAGTCAACGCCTGCGTGGCCTCAAGAGGCAGGGTGGGGTGGTGGAAAGGCCGTGGGGCGGGCAGAGCTGGGCTTCATTCCTTCCTCTGGGGCTTGGTGGCTGTGTTGCTTGGGCATGTTACTGGACGTCTTTAAGCTTTCGTTTCCTCATTTATAAAAGGGGAATCATAATTTGTTCCATTTCAACCGTTTCATTTTATTCTACATATTTAAAGTTACAAGTATTATGTGAATACATTCCATGTCCATGTGTGTATCTGTGTGTATATCTATATCCATCCATCCATACTCCATCCATCTATCCATCACCCATCCATGTCTATCTATCTATCTATCTATCTGTCTGTCTGTCTAAAATCAGATAAGGGGGAAGTCTTTTTTGATCACTTCTTCTAATTCTAGCTCCTTCTCCAGACCATTTCCTCCCTGTGCATTTACATACATAGGTACCTATAGAAAATTTATAGTAGTTTTTTCCCTTAAAAACATGAATAATAGAACACTATAAATAGTGGAAAACCGTATATAGCATTCTGCTTTTTTTTCATTGAACAATGTATATTAGAGATTGTTCTGAGATATACGTATGGATC